ACTGAGAACCCTGTGGGGCACAGTTCTACTCTGACACACACGGAGCACCATGAGTGGGATCTACTTATGAAAAATCATCCACTGAGAACCCTGTGGAGCACAGTTCTACTCTGACACACACAGGGCACTATGAGTGGGATCTACTTATGAAACATCATCCACTGAGAACCCTGTGAGCACAGTTCTCCTCTGACACACACGGGGGCACCATCAGTAGGATCTACTTATGAAAAATCATCCACCGAGAACCCTGTGGGGCACAGTTCTACTCTGACACACATGGGACACCATGAGTGGGATCTACTTATGAAACATCATCCACAGCTGTACCCTAACATTCGGGAGCTGTCCATGAGTGGAGGCCAATCATTATATTCCTAACTTAGTTTATCCTCTAGTAGCCAGGAAGGAAATTTAAGTATTTTCTCAGAATTACCAACCAACTAATGAAGTAGTTGCCGTTGAATTGGTTGTGACTCAGGGTGGCCCCATGAACCATAAACAAAGGAGCGCATTTTCTCAAAGGATGAGAGGCATCTGATACACAGAGATAAAGGAGCACAGTGTCCTCTGGTTCAAAATAATTTCCTTAGCAACTGACAGAGCAGCAGGACCGTCAACTGTCCACAGCACAGCACTGAAACAAACCACCTCAACGGTGGAATGGTACGCAACACAGAAGAACAAGGACTCTGCCCAACAATGCAGAACATGGAGGATCCTGAAGGACACTGTGCTGAGTAAAATTAGCCAATCGCAAAGGGACAAATATTGTATGAAACCACTACTGGAAAAAGTCATGAAAAGGTTTTCATTCTATAATAAATATTCTGTTAGGCATTAGGCAAATTTTCTGCACAAGACCTCTTTGAAGTGTTCAAGAGCAAAGATGTCAGCTTGAGGACTAAGGTGCGCCTGACCCAAGCCATGGTATTTTCAATAACCTCATATGCATGTGAAAGCTGGACAGAGAATAAGGAAGACTGTAGAAGAATTGATGCATTTAGGTTATGGTGTTGGAGGAGAACATTGAAAGTACCAGGAACTGGTAGAAAAACAAACCAATCTGTGTTGGAATATGTACAGAATGCTCCTTAGAAGCCAGGATGGCCAGACTTCGTCTCTCATACTTTGAACATATAATTAGGACAGACCAGTGTCTGAAGAAAGACATCATGCTTGGTAGAGTGGAGGGTCGAAAAAGAGGCACCTTCCTGCCCCAGTGAGTGGGACCAACAACAGGCAATAACTGTGAGGCTCAGGACCAGGACAGTGTTTCATTCTATTACACGTAGGATCGCTATGGGTCAGAACTGACTCAACACTTACCATCACTAACAACCAAGGATGCGTACCCGAGGTGGGATGGCAGGAGGACTTCCTTACTGAGTTGAATGTTGTTGTCATGAAGTACTGTGGAGTCCGTTCTGACTCACAGCGACCCTGTATCGGGTTTCTAAGGAAAGGCTGGTGTCCGGTGCTAATCCTACAGTGCCACACCGGGACTGGACATGTGCTAACGTGGGCCAATGGCGAAGGCAGAGTTCAAAACAAAAGCAAGGGGGAGGGGACTGTGTTCTTAAAAACCAATTAATTAAAATACATAGATGGAGAGCCATCGGGTGCCAAAGTGGCAGTCCCATAACTTGCTTTCACTTTCATGTTGGTTTTGATTAATCTGAATAAAAGTAAGAAAGAATTGATAAGGATTAAATGAGCCCAGTCAGCTTAAACTGCTCATACACACACACACACACACACACAACACCTCACTTCAGTTAGATCAGGATTCTGAGCTACAGACAGCATGCTTCAGACCTGTGACAGCACCGAGGCTTGATTCCCAGGACCTCCTTTAAAGACCCTCCCCACAGAAAAAGGGACAGAAGGTTCCTAGTGGCTGTGAGGGTGGACAAAGTCCAGCAGGAGGATTTGAGGAAGTCGGGGGTGCAGATGGGACTGTGCCCAGAACCCAAACCTGGGAAGGGTTGCCTAGCGGTGGTAGAGTTTTAACAGAGCGTGAACCAAACACGCAGCTCCTGCCCGAGCAAGGGGTGGGTGACACATCACCACCAGTTCTGAGAAGGATGCGGCCACAGCCATGCCACAAGACAGCGTACACGATGGAAGCAGTTTTTGGTGAAGCCGGGGATAACGTGAGCACAGAGACCCACAAACAAGCTGAGAGGTTTGTGCGTGCAAGGCTCCAGCTGGGAGAAGGCAGATCTGCAGCTACACCTGCCCTGGAAAGAAGCCACACGCTCACATTCAAGATGGAAGCGACTTTCAAAAAGAAACAAACATGGTAATGAAGGAACAACGAAATGGCAACAGAGTAGCACACCTGAGCCAGCCTTCCACTGGAGGCCATAAACCATCAATAACCACTGGCCTAAGGGACCGCGGAAGTGAAGTGCGCTGTCTGCAGGTGAACAGCCCTCCTGCTCACTCCACACCCAGCTGTCACTTGCCATTTTAGTGACAAACGGTCCTTCTAGTTTCCGTCCAATCTTGCCTCAATGTCAGTGGCCACTAGATGGCAGTGTGGGCTGTCCTTTGTCTGTACTTACCTCCAGTTGGCCTTGCCAAACAGAAAAGGGGTTTAATCCAGCATTGAACACATTATCAAGTCAGGTGCTGGTCAGCTGACTCTCCTATTTCAAAAGATGGACTCTGCACGCAAGGCCACGGAGAAAGGTGTGTTATTAATGGCTTTCAGAACACACACCAGGTGTCCAGACATGCAGAAGAGAAGTAGTTATGGGAATGAACACAAATAAAAAAGGCAAAACATTGCAAAAACAAATCATTTTATTAAGTGCAAAACAAGCCGTCGGCAATAAATAGATTAGCTCTGGTACATGTTCACAGACGTCAGCGTTTTCTCCAGATTAAGGCAGAGAACTTACTCCAAACAGATTTTAAAAAAGAAAGGAGAGCAAGTCCCTTCAACATGCTTGAGCGCACCTGGGGGCGTCACAGGAATTTCAGTTTGGGTTCAAAGAGAATGTCTGCCCCATTGGGGAGCTTACAGCAGATAGAGTCTCTTACTTCCAATTCCAGCACCCGGAACTCCAGCAGTTCGTTCTGGTCCTTGGCGTCCTGCATCTCGTCCTTCAGCTGACTCTCTTCCACCTCCAGCCGGGAGATCTAGAGCACAGAAGAGCGCCTGTGAGCCCCCCGGGTGGGCGGCTCCTGGCAGGAGGAGGGGAGGGAGGGGAGATTTGCAACAAAGACCCTAGACCTGAATAGTGGGGAAACAGGCTCAGAGCAGTTGGATTCAGAGGTTCAAACCCACCAGCTGCTCTACAGGAGAAAGCTGGGCCACTCAGCTTCCGTAAACATCTATCATCTCAGAACCCTTAAGGAGCAGCTGTGTTCTGTTATGTAGGGTCACTAGGGGTCAGAATCGACTCGATGGCACGGGGTCAGCTCAGGTCAAAGGTGGCTGGACAAGGTGACCAAGCCTTCCCAGGACCCAGCGCAGCCCGGGCATCAATTCCTACGCCCTTCCCAGGAAGAAAGTATGAAGGTGGAATTTCCCCAGGAGCCCCTCAACCCGCCCCCAGCTTCTGAGGAAGCAACTGGCGGAGGCAACAGCACTGACAACAGGCGTCAGTGTGCTTGCTGTGTGAGTGTGTCTGGCCCGTGGTCCCCACTTCAGATGGACTCTGGGTGGTACCAGCTGAGCAGGAGAGGTTTCTGTTTGTCCCGGCTGCAGAGAGGGACCAGAGATGCCCACCTGGCAGTGACCTTCCTGCCTCTATGCCCAACAAGCTACCGAGAGCACAGGAGCTGAAGACCCCAAGGCCAGTGGCAGATCACCATCTCCACCTTCAGAGCTGACATGGGGAGGGGGACCCCTCCTGGGGCCTGAGAGCTGGCAGGGGACCAAGCATCTGGACACTGGCATGCTAAGGCCTGGTCAGGTCTTACTGCGTGAGCATGCAGAGAAGTCAGATCTGACGGCACAAGCTGGCAGGGTTGGGGGGTGAGCGAGACAGTGGAATGGGCTGGGGCTTTGGGGCCTGAGTGGGAGAGCAAGTGGGCACAGAGGGCAGGGTCTTCATGATGCAGATGCTCATGGAACTGCACAGAGGAGACAAAGAGCTAGGGCAGATCTGGATAGACCCGGGAGGACAGTGTCCACATAGTATGAGGGCTGGGGGCTCTGGGCCCTCAAATATGGAGAAGTGCTTGGACATCACCACCTATAGACCCTGGACAAAGCTGTGCATGCTCCGGGGCCTGAGGACTGGCTGTCCGAATCCCAGGGGCCGAGGGGGACATCTGGACACTGGGCCTAGCTGCCAGCGGTTGGAGGTGAATGGTGGTATGTGAGCCGGAACAGCTGAGCCCTGGACTGGGGTCCTTCAACTCCGGGCCCCTGTCTATCCACTCTAGGACCCCTGAGTCAGGGACAGGGGACTGGGGCACATCCACTCGGGGTCCCCTGAGTTGGTGTGGGACCTGGGGTATTTCAACTCCAGGTCCCCTGAGTCTAGGGCAGGGGGCTATGCTTCTGAGTTGGGGGCGGGAGGCTGGAATCTATCCACTCCAGGTCTCCTGAATCCGGGGTGGGGGACTGGGGTCTATCGGCTCAGAGTCTCCTGCATTAGGGGTGGGGGCTGGGGTCCATCCACTCTGGGACCCCCCGAGTCAGGGTGGGGGCTGGAGACTATCCGCTCCGAGTCTCCTGAGTCAGGGTAGGGGCAGGGCTCTATCAGCTTGAGGATCCCTGAGTCAGGGTGGGGGCTGGGGCACATCTGCTCTGAGTCCCCGGAATTAGGGTGGGGCGGCGCTCCAAGTACCTTCTCCAGCAGATCCTGGTTTGTTCTCATGAGCAGCTGCTTCTCTTCCACCCACTTGGAATCCTGAGGGAAATGTTGACTACAGTCACCGCGTGGAAACCCACACAGTCCCACACAAACCTGCTACGGACGACTGGGGGACTGTGGGGGCCAGGACCACCTGCCATCCTGCCAAACCTTCAGCCCACCCACCCACAGTCCCCCACCACCCACCCATGGCCCCCTACCATCCACATCCCCACACCATGACACACTTTTTTTTGCACATTTCTAGAACCCAGCCAGTGTCTGTGGGTGTCTGTAAATACAAAGACTGACTTCAGTCCACCCCCGGAGCACCTGTCCCTCCACACCTTCACTGCACCCGACCTGGTGGGCTGTATCTGTATCCCCAGGCCTGACTCATAGCAGACCGACAGAAAAGAAGAGTCCTGGGGTCCCTGGCCTGCCCACATGTCCCCTTATAGGAACCTCATGGACTAGGAGTCTCGACAACTCTGGCCCACCCAATGCAAGCAGGTGCTCGTGTTTCAGACAGCCAGGCTCTGGGTGCTTGGAACTGACTAGCACTGTCTGCAGCTCCACACAGGCCTGGTGCCGTGGGCACCTTCGTGCAGTGGGCACCTTCATGCAGTGGACACTGGGCCAGACTGCAAGCATGAGGTAACCCTGTCTGGAAACACGGCCTTTGCAAATGTCATCAGTTAGGTTTGCACAAAGGTCACACTGGAGCAGTTGGGTCCCCATCCCAGCTGAGCAGCATCCTCGTAAAAGGGAAGATGAGGACAGATGAGACAGAGAGAGGACAGGGAAAGGGTGTTGAAGACAAGAAGTTCCTAGAGACCCCCAGAAGCCGGGAGAGATGAGGAAGGACTTTGCCCAGAGCCATGGAGAAAGGGAACCTGGCCTTGCTGACACCCCCACCTCAGGCTTGATGACCTCAGGCTGTGAGAAGCAGGCCTGGTGTTGGCAGCCCCCCATTATGTGCTCCTTTGCCACAGTGGCCGCATTAAACGAACTCACTGCTGCCCCCACCCTCCCCAGCTCCAGTTCAGCAAAGCAGAGGAGACTGTGGGCTGGAATTCTGATATGATATGCACACGAGCACCCATATAGTAGGTGCACTTTCTCGCTTAAATTTCTGCAGGTCCCCCACCTCATCCAGGCAGAAAGGGAGCCAGACGCGAAGTTGCTTGGGGAATGACCTACTTTTGTTCCCTGGCCACGAAGTAAAAGCCAACTCAGAATGTCCACTCCTTTTGATGTTTATAAGCTCCACAAGCAGGGCCTGTTCTAACTGGGGTTCTGCCAGGTTTGCCCCCAAAGTCCCCGGAGCTCCCAGCACAGCCTCTCACCTGGAGGCCAGCCAGGAACAGCGCCAGGAACACAGCTGCATTCTTTTCTCTTTAAATGCAAAAAGCAAGCGCTCACAAAACATGGGTCTGCGGCTCACCTGTCCCTTCTCCACCAGCAACTTCTCCAGGTCTTCGATTTTGGCCTGACACCTCAGCAGGTCAGCTTGGAGCTGCTCTCGAGTCTAGAACAAAGGGGACCCGAGTCAGCAGGTCCCTCAATGGGCGGCAGATGGCGCCATGGAGCAGGTGTGCCTTATGCCAAGTCTGTAGATGTTAGTCAGCAGCGCTCTGTTTAGGGTCATGGGTCACTGACACATGCAACAATTTAACAGACAAGGAAACTGAGTCTGGAATGAACAGAGACCAATTACTTCAAGGGGGTGAGTGAGCCAGAAACCAGACTCTTAGGCCCCAGCCCAGCCGTATATCCCAGTGCGGCAATGTATGTCCAGCAATCAGGACAACACAAGGGCCTCGCGCCCTACATCACCCACACGTGGGCTATGCAGCAAGATGCCTCAGGACCAGGAAGCAATGCAAACAGGACAAGCAGCTGTGTCAGGGGACATGCAGCTGTGGGGCTGAGGCAAACTGGAGACCACACCATTCCAGCCAGCACAGCGGGCAACTGGGCTGACAGGCCTGCCAACTCTAAAGAGACTCGAGGAATCTGGATTGTTAAGTGAACTCCCTTCAGGTTTAAGAACTGGCAGTTAGATGAAATTTAAATGAAAATCACAAAGACTCAGCGCAAAGACTGGGAGCTGGCCCCCTGGCTGGCCTCAGAGCACGGGAGAAGCAGGGAGTGACATCCAGACTGGGGAGCTGCAGGGGCACATGAGGGGGTTTCAAAGGGAGAGGGTGTCTACACAGCAAGACTGGGTACATCTGTGAAGCTATCCCTGCACAAAGCACACACCTGGCTTTGTTATAGGTTACACCAGTGACCACCACTGTGGCCCAGGAGGAGGTCATCCTGCCAGATGTGAGTGTCTGCCCCACAGAGCCCCCAGGTACACACCGCAGGACCCAGACCCCCACCTGGCCCCGTGCTCACCCGGGCCTCTCTCTCAGCATCCAGCGTCCCGCCCACCTGCTCCTGGAGCAGGGCGTAGGCTCGCTGCAGCGCCTGGTACTCCCTGGTCAGCTGGCAGAACCGAAGGTCAGACTCCTCTCTGGGCGTGGCCTGAGCATCATGAGGGGGAGAAAGGGGGAGACGGGGTGTGATGAGGTGTGATGGGTGTGATGGTGTGATACAGCATGGTGTGGTATGACACGTTGTGATGGGGTGTGATAGTGTGACACGGTGTGACATGGTGTGATGGGTGTGATAGTGTGACCTGGTATGAGTGTGACACAGTGTGGTAGGGTGTGACAGGGTATGACAGTGTGATGAGGTGTGACAGGGTGTGATGGGGTGTGCTACAACATGACAGGGTGTGACTGTGACAGTATGATGGTACAGCAGGGTATGAGGAGGTATGACAGTGTCATGGTGTGACGATATGAAATGGTGTGACAGGGTTGACATGGTGTGACACAGTGTGAGGGTGACATGGTGACAGGACATGATGTGACACTGTGATGGGGTGTGATACAGTGTAACACGGTGTGATGGGGTGTGACATTATGACATGGTGTGACACTGACATGTGATGCACTGTGTGTTGTGGTGTGATTGTGTGTGAGGTCACATGATGTCACATGGTATGATGTGGCCCCAGAGGCCTCGGCCTGGGCCCCAGGGTCCCAGTGTTGACCAACAATTACTCAGCAGCTGTGGGAGCAAAGGGCCGAGAGGTGAAGGCTCCCCACCCCAGAGCACGAGGAGCCCCCAGAAGTCACTTGAATCACTTGGGAGGCTGGAAGAGGGTCTCAGAGCAGCCTGTTGACAACCAGATGAGGAGGAGTCATCTGGGGCTGTGTTTTCCTGTGGCCACATGGACCCCCAGGGGGAAGGCAGCCTGGAGTCAGCTAGAAAAAACTCCCCTGAAAGGATGCCCAGAGGGGGCAGGAGAGCAGGAACTGCCCCCCCCCAGGAGGGGGGAGCTCGGGCAGCTGGAAGGAGGGTCCCTGGGACCCTTACAGAACAGGCTCCCTTGGCCATGTCCCTACCCCTCCCACCCCAGGTAAAAGGCCACTCGGGGAAGAAGTAGGAGTGGGTAAGCAGGGCAGGAACCAACATCCTGACCAACACAGACCCCAAGGGGGAACAAGGGAACACAGCGGCCGGGTGTAGGGGTGGAAGCCCCTGAGGGTGGGAACCTGGGGCCCATGGTCCCTGTGTACATCTCGGTGCTGTTGGACAGTCTCCTACACTGATGCATCTGTCGTCTTTATCATTAAAACAGCAGCAGGGTGAGGGCCATCCATGGCCCAGAACTGCTCATGGGAAAGATGAAAGGGCAGTTGTTCTTTTATATTCACTTAACCACAATCACAAGAGAAAAACGGCCATGATGCTGTCTTCACGGGGCTGGAACTTGTGTAGCATCGTGTAGAGAGGCCAAAGGCAGTACCTCTTCCTCTGAAACCCATGTTTGGAAAAATGGGAGGACCCCTTCCATCGGGTCTGGGGGTCAGCCTGGTGGACCACTTACCTCCTCCAGGTCCTCCTCAGGTGTGGCTGGTGTCCGGTCTGTCCTGTCTGTGTTGTAGGACGTCTCAGATAATGTTTCTGAGTCCACGGACTCCTCGTCAAATCCAAAAAATGTCTCCACAACATGCTTCTGTGAAATGCAGGGTTCACAGTATGAGAACTGGTCCTGGGGTGATGGGACCCCTGCCCCACCATCATGGAGGGGGTGAGGCTGAGGGCATCCCAGGAGGTGGGCCTCAGGGGGCTATGGGTTGGATCTGAGTGGGGAGCAGAGGTGATATGGGGCAGTGTGGAGGTGAAAAGGTGGAGGGAGCTGTCCAACCTGCTTCCACGTCCACACTGGGAGGTCTCCACCACCTGGCCCTGAGGCCCATCCCTGTCTCCATCAGATATTGTCTGCTCACACACCCCTAATGTAAGCCTGGCCCAAGCCCTGCTCGCACTACCAGACACAGAGTCCCACTCACAGCCAGAAACATGGAGGGTGGCGGGGAGGGAAGGAGACAAGTTCCCTCACGTCAGTTCCAACTGACAGTGACTTGTGCACATCAGAAACACCACGTGATCCTCCACATGCGCATGATCAGTGTTACGCTTGAGCCCATTGCTGCTGCCACTGTGCCAGTCTATCTCACTGGGGGGCTTTCTCTTTTCCACTGACCCTCCACTTTACCAAGCATGAGGTCCTTCTCCAGGGACTGGTCCCTCCTGACAAGTCCAAAGTACAAGAGACATAGTCTGATCATCCTGAATTCTAAGGAGCATTCTGGCTGCACTTCTTCCAACAGACAGTCCCTGGTAATGCCAACATTCTTCTCCAACACCGTAACTCAAATACATAGAGTTTCTTATGGTATTCCTTATTCACTGTCCAGCTTTCACATGCATCTGAGATGACTGAAAATACCATGGTTTGGGTCAGGCGCACCTTAGTCCTAAACTGACATCTTTGTTCTTGAACACTTTAAAGAGGTCTCGTGCATAGGAGCTGTCCAGTGCAATAAGCTTCAATTTCTTCACCTTTAGTATTAATGTTCGTGCATAAATTTGAATGATAGTCATACTAATGGGCCTTCCATGTAGGTGTATGCATATTATCTTGTCACTGACATTGTTATACTCCAAGATAGAACTTAAAATGCTCTTTGGGACCATTTGTCATTCCTGGCATGGTAGACTATTGTTGTTGTTAAGTGCTGTGGAGTTGGTTCCAACTCATAGCAACCCTGGCACACCGAGGAGCAGCTAGTGGATTTGAACTACCACCTTATGATTCAAACTGACTTTGCAGTCCAGGGCTTATCCTACAGCACCACATCAGGACTCCATAGTAGACCATATGGTTGTTTAATTCAAAATGGCCAATACCAGTCCATTTCAGCTCACTGATGATCAAGTCCTGGTGTGGTCAACAGTTCAAGCTCACCAGCTGCTCCTCGGAAACCCTATACAGGGTCACTATGGGTCAGAACCGACTCAACGGCACTTCACAACAACAGTGCCTAGGATATTGATTTTCTAGCAATCCACTTCATTTCAACAACTTCTAGTTTTCTTTGATTCATACTTTGTATATTCCACGTTCCAATTATTAATGAATAATTGCAGCTGTTTCTTCCCAGTGTGAGTCACGCTCCATGTTACATGAAGGTCCTGTAAGCTTTACTCCATCCACATCATCACTGTCAACTGTCCTTTGCAGAGACCGCTCTTCCCTCGGATTCTGAGTGCTTGCCAAGCTGAAGACGGTATAATCGGGCACATAGCAGACAATGTTCTGCTGCCATTAAATGACTCTCGATTTCTTCACATGTAGACTATAACGTCTTTCTTCTGTCTCTCTTAAGTCTGGACGCTCTGCTGAAGCCTGTCCACCATGGCTGACCCTGCTGGTATGTGAGACTCTGGTAGCCAAGCTTTCAGCTATGATGATGCTGGGATCTGAGCTGAGTTGACCAGAAGAGGTCAAGGTTGGCAAACGGCCAGGTGCCCAGAATCTGACCACAGGGCTAGGTCTGGTCCAACTGGCATATGGCCAATTGCTCACTGGTGGCAACTGCTATCTGACTTTGTGATTCCAGGAAATTTGGGACTTTCCTGGAGATTGGGAGGATGCCCAGAGGACCTGCGGCCCAGCACTTGGCTCCGGAGGCAATGCTGAGGCTCAGCATGTGGTCCCTGGCCCCTCTGGCACGTCATACATCATGGGACACTGGACACATCCTGTGGGGCACTCAGTCGGGCTGGGGGTCACGGACGATCCAAACAAGGTGTGGGATTACCACACGGGGCCCCAGGCCTCCAGTGCAATAGGTCAGTGCCCCATGTTTCAGAAACCTGGGCTTTCTTTTGCCCTTCAAATAGCCCCAAGAAGGATTTTTATTTGGTTTTATGATCCATGAATGCCCCTCACAATCATGAAAACCACAGATCCACTGTTCTGTGCAATGCCCCTGCCCCACGTGCTCCCGCACTGCCCCACACACACCCAGACACGCACACACCACACTCCACACATGCACACACACTCCACACACACACCATCCCCCCACATGCACATACTACACACACCCAGACATGCACACACCACACCCCCCATGCACATACTACACACACACACCACACTCCACATGCACACGCACATACTACACACACCCAGACACGCACACACCACACCCCCCCATGCACATACTACACACACACACCACACTCCACATGCACACGCACATACTACACACACCCAGACATGCACATATACCACAGTCCACATGTACATGCACATACTACACACACACCACACACACACACACACACATACCCAGACACACACCACACGCACACATGCACAATATACACACACATATTACACATACACACCACACACGCACACATACTCCACACACACACACCACACGCACACACCACACACCACACACACACACCCCACATGCACACCACACACGCACATGCACACACACACACACACATACTCCACACACACACCAGACACGCACATACCACACATACATGCACACACATACATATCCCAGCAGACACATTACACACCACACACACCCCCCCATATATGTCCATAACTCATACATGCCGCACCACACATACGCACCCCACACATGTGCCCTTAGGTGTCTGTACATCACACACGTGCACCCTCACTTCACACTCTTGCTCCCACAGGGCCTTTGCACATGCCACACATCTGTCTGGATGTGTTTCCTTACACGTGGTTCTCTCCTCCTCCTTTAGGTCTTTGCACAAATGTACCTCAGCAAGTCCACCCTGTCCTCTTCCTTTCAATCCTCGGCACTGTGGGCAGCATCTGACCCAGGACATTTACACATCCCTGTGTCCAATGCCAGCTTCATGGTACAGGGACGGCAGCCCAGGGCAGGCACAGCACAGGCCTGGAGAAATGCTGGCCATCAGCAGTATGGGGGAGGGGACGTGTCTACTGTGAAGGAGCTCAGAGTCCACCACACAGGATACCACTGGGCAGCCCCTGTCTGCTCCCCAGAGTCCACCACACAGGAGACCACTGGGCAGCCCCTGTCTGCTCCCCAGAGTCCACCACACAGGAGA